ATATAGGTTTATAGCGAAATGAAGGGGTCAATATTTTTTTCCTGTACTTTCACACCGACGAAGGTGCCCCTTTTTTCTGAGCAAGTGCCCCTTTTTGGTGTTGCCCCCCCCCCCCCCGTTTGAAAAGCGTTACGCCGCCCCTGCACCAAATTTACCAAAACGCTTTCCTGCTGTCTGCCATAATAATAATTATAATCTCGAAGAGCGACTTGCATGCAGGGGAGGTTTTGATGTCAATGGTCAAGCTAAGATTTGACCGTCCATTGAGCCAGCTTGGACACAGACACAGAGAGAGCCACGTGCAACGGACAAAGCGACTGTCCAGACTGTATGTCCATCATCCAGTCCCTCATATCACGGTCCAATTACTGGTCATCAGTTTCCCCTCCATGAACAAAGACTGCGCACTAGTCACCCACCCACCGGAAACCATCATTATTTTTCTTCCAATTTCTCTCCCGCTGAAAAACAACGTCGCCATATTTGGCTGCGCGGCTCATTGAATCCCGCCATTATACCACGGATAGGCGAGTATAGGAAAAAAAAAAAAATGGCGGGAAAAGAATTGGCGCGCTCGTACACCCAAGGACGGCCATTGATATAAAAAAAGGCGTCTGCCGTATGTTTTTTTCACGTCTGCTAATGAAATTGGACTTGTGGCTTTATTGTCAACAAAATGATCTCACTGATTGTCCAAATAACGAGCATCGGGGGAACGGGTATAGGGATTCATTCATATTTAAGCGTTTTTTAGCCAATCTGTAAAAATCATTTAAAAAAAAAAAGTTGGATGGAGCAGGTAACGACACAAGGGTGTGCGGAAATGTCACCTGTGGAACACAATGAAATCTCCAATTATGACAACACAGGTAATGAAAAAAGCAAGGCAAGATGGACATCAGGCGCCGTTTAATTAGTCCCTCGATGGGAAAAATGACGAGAAGATTGGGACGAAACGAGAGGTATCCTTGGCAATAACTGATTGCAGAAATAACAGTCATTCCGGATGAATGCATAATTACGATAAAAATTAAGACACGGAGCAATTTCATATTTTGACGGGAGCCGTGTAGCAGACGTCAAAAAGATAGAATGAGAAGGGCCTCGGGGCGAGTTGTTGGGCAGCCGTTCAGCGGCAGGCCAGGCAGCTAACGATGCGGTGTTTTCCTACCAGTGGCAGTGGCGGATGCAGGCTTTTCTAAAAGGGGTCTCTTGAGTGCTGAAGTCCAAGATGTATTTTAAGGGAGGGAGGTTTGGCTGACGTGTTTAAGTTAACGCATAAAGAGACCAAAGACGTAATAGTAGGCCAGCCAAATGTGGAAAAGTTCTCTAGAAAATAATTTCACGGCATTTTTTGGTAACAGCTGGCATCCATGCTAGATTCATTTTTCGAACCATAATAAACAAGATGTGGGTGGATGCCATCGTTAATTTTGACCCTAATTTGCATAAATTGTTAATCCCTGCCGTGTAATATATTTCCCCCATATTTGGGTATATAATATATATTGCTTTATTTTTTGAAAAATTAATTTTGGTGATTCTACTTACACATAGAATCATAGAAATCTTATAAGTGACTGAATAATTATGAGGACATAGTAACGATCCAAAATGGCTACTATTACACGCAAAAGTTGCGTGCATTTATCTTGTCTCCAGATATCATCAAAGAGTCTTGCCAAACCTCAGCATTGATGAGCTTCAAATTCACCAAGTTGCTTACGGGCACAGTTACCCTATTAAAACCTTATAGAAAATCATGTGAACAATGATAACGTTGTGATATTTAGCCCAGCAAGCAATAACAAGGAAAAACGAGGTGTCTGTTAATTGGCCTAATTAGGGAAGGGTTGCCTGAAATTGGAGACTTGAAAACGAACAAGGAAATTCCCAAATTTATTGGAAAGAAAATTAATGGAAAGGACACATTTTGACATTGACAAATCACATAATTATTGCAAATGCTTTTTTTTTTGGGGGGGGGGGATTTCCTTGAACTTAAGTCTCCCACGTTAGGCGACCCTTTGCCTAATTTAAGCACAGTTTACAGACAGCCATCAGCTCGTTTCCTCCCGTTTTTTGCTGAGCTAATTATCACAATGTTATCCTTGTTCACATGATTTTTCATGAGGTTTTAATAGGGTAACTGTGCCAGTAAGCAAATTGGACCGGGCTTCACACTTCAAGCGAATGCGACAGCGAAGCGAATTTGACGTCATGGAACATTCGCTGCGAAATTCGCCCAAGTTGAAATGTGTTCAACTTTTACGAATTCGCAGCGCGAATACCTACCATAACGTCACAATTTCACGTTCGCTTTCGCTTTCGCGGGGAGTATGAACCGGGCTTTACCTTAACGATGCTCTTCGTACTGTCCAGTATATGAATCAAGATTTGCAGCATTCAGTGATGCCGTCTACTCTGATAACTAATTAAAAGGTCCTGACATGAGTTTTATACTGGTACATATTTCGTGCATAAAAATATCCATTCCTCTAAAATGTATGAAAACTATGAGACATCCCTTTTTGGTTAAACAGTTTAAAAATATTGCAGTTTATGAAGCTATTTAAAACGTTCCATGCTTCCCCTGACAAAGGGAGGGCGCTGTTGCCGTGTCGTCATTTAAGGCACTTTAGGGGTTTCTTTTCTGAAAGTGAACAGTTTGCATACAAATTGCTCTTTTACAGTCATGTAGGCCTACTGCAACAACGATGAATCACCAAAAACAGAAAATTTAGTCCTGGAACAGAGGAACAAGAAAAAAAAAGACTTCGCTTTACGATTTCGATATCTCAATGAATAATTTATTTATTGTTAATAGTGCTTAGTTTAATTTTCGGACGGAAGAATAGAGTGATTTTCATCGTATTGTGTATCCTGAACTAAATACATGTATGACAATTGATATTAATTAGGCACGTCGCAATTCTTAAATAGCTTTAAATAAAGTAAAAAAAGAAAGAAAAAGCTGTTAATACATTTACACGTTCATTTCCAACTTTTCCCACTGGATCCATTTTCATTCATGTACTGAATTCCAGTTTCCCCTTACTTTCAAATCAACCAGTCTGAACCAGTCCCGAGTTGTAGCACGTATTGACCGCACCACACAAAACACCTGCTAACTTATCATTTATAAATGAATACTCATGCTGCTTCTATTAGTTATTGCGCCCTCTGCCTTGTTCATCTGTACTCTCGCGAGACAGAGCGTCCCCGAAAGAGGGCGTTTTTCAAGCAAAATGGACATGCGTGGACATTATTTTTAACACAGCTCTTTCTCCATCACAAAAGAGCAAGTTATAATCGCAAAGAGACGTGCGACAAATTGGCGTTAATGAATGAATGACTTGGCCCATATCTGAACGTTGAATGCCCAAGTTTTTCAAATTGCAAGTTTTTTCCCTTAACAAATTATTTAAATAAAATCGGATTGCATCTACACAAGGCGTAATTTCGAATCATAATAAACTAAACGTGTATTCTACGAACTTTGCATCTTTCTCTGAATCTTCCTTAGGGGTTTGCATATTATAGAATGCGCTTCTATCGCGAAGGCCCCCTTCAATGGCAAAAGCATTGTGCTAGCTATTGTTCAGATAATCCGCCTCGGGGCAGTTGCTTTGTACAATAGCGTGTGCAATGGTTTCTCCGTTAAGGGGCCTCATGAGGGTACAGTGATCATGTGCCTAAATTCGTCTAAACTTATAAAAACAATTACCTCTCTCAGGAAAATCTTCAATAATTATTGTTGCTTCATTCTAACTAATTGAATATTTTGACCTCAACGATATAGGCTTTCCATAGGGGCGTTGGAACGCTTTTCAAACTGGGGAGCCGGGGGGCAACACCAAAAAGGGGCACTTGCTCAGAAAAAGGAGCACCTTCCGTCAGTGTGAAAGTGGAGGATGACGAGGAACAAATTATGAATAGTTTTCCATCTTGCTCTTTGTGTTTCTTTTACCTATAGTTATGTAGCAACACCATTTTTTAAAATAATAATAAACCATTCTTATAAAGCGCATTTTACACGGGGTCCCAATGCGCTGAACAATTAACACAGGAAAACACTAACATTATATATCATTTGCAGTGAACAGATGGGTTTTAAGATTAGCTTTGAAAATGTCCAGGGTTGGGGCTTCCTTGATGTGATTGGGTAGTATATTTTCATCTCGAGGGGCACCTTTATAACCGCGAGAGGGGCACCTCATTTTAGTATTTTATCGCGAGAGGGGCACTGTTGCTTTTGATGGACAGTTCAGTGGCAAATTTTATTCGCGTAAAGGGTACTATTATTTTTAGGGGCCCATTTTCCATCTCGAGAGGGGCAAATTTTCAGTATTGCGAGAGCGGTATTTTGTGCTTTCGAGGGTTGGTTTTCCATTTCGAGAACTTGTGCACAATGTTGATAATGCAAGAGGGGTACTTGTGTCTTTGAGGGGCAGTTTTGCATTACAAGAGAGACAATTTTATTTGTAGCGCGACCATAATGCTTTCATATGTGTGCGTTTGAGAGGCAGTTTTGTTTTCATCTCGAGGGGGCACCTTTATCCGCGAGAGGGGCACCTCCCCCAGCCCCCCCCCCACCCGGTTCAGCCGCCCCTGGCTTTCCAAAGCATTACATCTTAACAATTGATCTGATTTCATCCTTCCTTTTTTTTACACGTTATAGATATTTTTTTCCAGATATCATGGGGACATTATTTTGATAAAAATTTGGGAGAAGACACACCAGTCTTGTTTTAAACAGTTCACGCCGAGAGTCTCAACTAAAAACACTGATACAGGCAGATCAGCCAATCAACAATTACACATCAACAGGTGGACACGAAAAGGATTATGAGTGCATCAAAGCAGCGTGTCTGAATTAAAATACACAATTTGAAGCCTATGACCTGCAGAGAATAGTAATAAATATGTCTATGAATCTCAGAGCTAGAGGCAGTCACTGCAATTGCCACTGGAAATGCATTAAAGAAATCACACTTCAATTACTTAAATTGAACATAATTTATTGTCTATTTCATACTAAAAGTGTTCGGTGCGATTACAATCTGAACTCAAGTAAACTTTTTATTAAAGTGATAATAACTGCTGTATAGTTCATCACAAGTCGTCTGGTCTCAAGTCAAATCATTTTAGCTGTTAAAATTAATGAAAAGACAGTAGCAGTCCTCTGTAAATTGTTCCTCCCATGTCGCTCGATGACTTGCGAAAGGACTTTAGTGATTTACTTTTGTTCGGTCTTGTTGCGCGCTCGTAAAATGTCCGGTGGGCAAAAGTCATCAAGGTCAAGTACAGAAACACACGGCACTTTTTACCGTCATCCAGCGCAGCCTATATTAATTTCTCTTTTTCTCAAGTTGCTGGCGCCCTCAGGTGTCGCAGTGTGCACGTGATGAGAAGACAGGAGAAAACCCCACCAGGCGCAGGTTGTCCCGATGCTCTCGCGCCCTCTCGCGGAGGGCAGCGATGCTGGTGCTCCGCCGGCTCTCCGGAGTACTCCGGTCCAATACGAGGTCGCCCAGGACAGCGGACAAAGAGCCACGCGAGGTCATAGGAGGCAGGATGCGAGGCACAACGTGGATGAAAGGCAGGGCTTTTCCGGAGGAAAGGGAGGCTAAAGGGGGCGGTGACAGCGAGGACGAAGAAGAGGGGGGTTTGAGGAGGAGGGGGCCCGTGACTGCCTGCTGACAGCTCGTGGTAACCTGCTGTCTGCTGCCGTTGATTTTGACGAAGGCCGCGGCCGGAGTGGACGGATTCGTGGGCTGCTTGGCAACGCTGCCCGCACCGCCGAGGTGACGACAGCTCTCCCGTCCCGCGGCCCCGGAGCCTTTCTCCTGCTTGCGCCACTTGGCCCGCCGGTTCTGAAACCACACCTGAAAAAGCAAAAAGTGTTTGCATTAACTGGCCGGGCTCTAAGACGCCGTAGGAATGCGGACGGGGACCCGGCACCCGGCTTGTTTACAAACTGGCGCGGAATCGGGGAAAATTAAAAGCGCGGGAGGAAAAGCAAGAAAAGACAGAGAGAAAAGGAGGGGGCAATTGGAGCGCGGGCGGGCGGGCAAAGTGTATTAGCGATCGGCTGCGTAATAGATAGATACATCTTAAGAAACAACCGAGACATTGGTAAACGGAGTTAAGTGAATTACACTCGGCTTTGGAACAAGGGATGATGTCATTAGCCAAGTAGGTCCGGGAGGTAATTGTCGCCGGCAGGAGCAGGTGTTATGGACTCAGGGGTAATCTTTAAGCAATATTAGCAACCGATTAGAAGCATTTATCACAAGAATGGTTCACGAGAAAACGGCTGTTATTTCCCTACCGAAATGTACCTATTTTCCCCCCATCAACTATAGAGAAACCATGTAATGATTTCAAGTTTACAGGCATAAGACTCGTGTTTCATGTGTGACAAGAGTAGTTGATACTCAGAGAAATAATTGTCAACTATTCAGAAATGCAGTACAGGGAGGATAACTTTGTTTCCCCTTAATTTTAGGTATGAGCAATCCTCTCCGCGATTCGATCGTTGTAGTGTTGTATAGTCGTGGCCATCACAAGTCCGATCACATGTAAATCATTAATGTAGGCGCAAGTCCGGTCTTAAATAACATGGGATGAATAATAACAAAGGAATGTCTTTGTGAAAGTTCATAATTATGAATAGTTTGTGACTTGAGAATTGATGGCTTGTGATTGACTTGTGCAGGACTTGTGAATGCTTGTGAGGAATATGATAGACTCGACTACAACACTTACTGATGACCTCTTTTTTCCGGGGGTGGGGGGGGGGGTTAAATAATAGTATGATATGACAGGAAACTGCCCTTTTGACACGCCCCTGTGGTGGAAGGATCAAAAACTAAGTTGATGGAGTGTTTCTCTCCAGGACAGCATCGATCTGTCACTGCCAATGCCTGAAGAAAATGGCCATTCCATATTTTCGCCGTCATTTCTGATTGATCGCGCTTACAAACGCTGGTCGCTCTAGTTTGAACAAGTAATGGGGGAACCATAGTCATTGCTATTAAGGTGTTTATTGTCTCAAAACGATGGCAACAGAACTATTAATTGATAGCGTGTGTAAAGCATGTAGTTCGGTGACCAAATTGGTGTTTCACTAACGTCTGAAATTGATTCGGTGTTTTAGGAAGCAATTTTGAAAATTGGGACATGGATTAGTCGTTCGCTTTTTCCACTTGAGCAAAAGTGCACCTTCAATAGCAGTGTGCCCAGTAATGCGATTTTGAATAAGTAGAGTTATTGATATCCAGGAACAGTTTCTATGATAAAACTGAAAGGGAGTTTTTAAGATGAACTGTTCACGCTCTCCAACTACTTGTAATCCGAATTTTCCCAACTTTACCGATCCTTGAAGGTTGTATTTCTAAACAAAATTGGGTTTTTGGACTTCTATATACAACCCTCTTAGAAAAAAACCTTTTATTTAGGTTTGCTTTTGCGCATAGGGAGCTGCATGCCCTCATTGCAAAAACTTTGTTTAGCAATTAAACACTTTTTTGAACACTTTCTTGCTCTCTTGTAAACATGTTTATATACTAAATTTGCTTCAGAGTATTGATGGATAGTGTTTAGCGATTGAACATTGGTGTTTAGGAATCGGACACGTTATCTTTAGCTATTACACATGTTTACAAAGTGAGAGCTAAATTGTGTTAAAACACAGGTTTTTTTTATGTGCTTCGTATTGTCTGGTTCCCGGTCCCAATAATTTTATTATCGATTCTAAAATATACGCGGGAACCAGTTACCCTATGGGAGCAGAGTTATTGTCAATCCGGCGCAAATAATTGGAAATGCTTACATTCATTATTCCAAGACTAAAAGTGGACCGAATGTTTCAGTCGATTTCTCATTTAATAAATGGAAGAACTTCAGGATAATTAAGAAAAATAGCCATCTACACAAACAAATCCTTTTTCCCCCGGAGTGAAACGCCAAATAGTACGGATAGTACATGTACACAATGAATGTAAGCATAACTTGGGAATTTGAAGACCGAACTGTCTAAATGGACTCAGAGAAACATGGGCGTCAATCGGTGGGGGACGGGGTTGGGGGGGGGGCACGTTTTAAAGTGGGTGGCCGTGGGGGATATCATATCGTTTGTCCCCAAACAAAAGTAGCCTACATTTGATTTTCTCGCTCAGGATAGCTCATTCAATGACTCCAAACCCGAAAGTGTTTAATTGATGATCTTTTGTTCAACAAAAATGGTTAAAGTGGTCAAAAATTGCCTCCGATCGCAACACAGAGCGTCTAGAATCCAAAATGTTCCGGGCCCTTAAGCGGGCCCCGAACCCCACGCCGTAAGGGCTTTACTTTTCGCATTACTTCTGATCACGGTATGTCCCCCAGCCCCCCCCCCCCCCCCCCCCCCCACACACACACACACACACACATACTTGTTTCACATGACTAGTGTGGACTTTCCATTGCTTTCGTGTAGTTAAGAAAAACCAGTGAAAAAACTCATTTTTCTCAAACTGTGAAAACTCTTTCAACCCAATTTTTTTTCTATGATTCCCTTTAGTGTTTCTCTTCATTCTGCTACAGATAAACCTAACCCAAAAATGCCTCTAAACCTGTTTTCCAGAAATGGGGAAACACTGTGTGGACGTGGGGTAAGTCCACACAACGTCGGTGCTACCTACATTATGTGGACGTCTTTTGTTCGGAAGTCCACACTGCGTATGTAAGACAAACTCACTTTGGAGAAGCGATTGACGCCCTGGTAGAGAAACGATGGTCAAGTTCGAGTCCGGTTGCTTGGTTTTTTCTTTACAGCGCTCGAAAGATCGTTATCTTCTTTTATTTCACTTTAACGGGGGGGGGGGGGGGGGGGGCAGATTCCTTCACATTGAGATCTCGGAATTACTAAGACATTCATTCTTATAATGTTTTAGCTCAAAAAAGTGACATTCGGTGTGACGTCAAACGTCCACAAGACATCAGTCTACACAATTTTATTAAAATCATAAAAAGGGTTCCTATTCCATACTACGGAATGTTGAACTCAAAGACAGCATTCACGATGACGTTTAAAGTCGTTCACTCAAGGGTTGCCTGCATCTTCACGCACATAACGCCCACAATTATTTTGTTGTAAGCATTGCCTATAAAGCTTTACGTTTTCCGGATTATATTTTGACTAAAACATCAAATTAAGCACAGGTGTCAATATGGAATAGAATACCCACTAAGTGAATGCCATAAAACATGATTACTATCGTAGTGTTCGCAAGAAAGCAGCACATTTTGAACAGCTCTCGTCCAGTTTTTTTTTTTAATATCGTTAGAAAGTGGAGTTTTCATCGACTATAACTCTGCAACGAGATAGTTCAGCATCCATGGGAGAGAATTTCTCTTTGGCCACCTGCGAACCTCCTCGTTCAGTTACCCATTAACTACCCTTTATTACCAACACTTTTTTTTAAAAACTCGTATAGCAGTTTAAAACCTTCAGCTTTTATTCTCTTGTCTGGGTTTTCACACAAGAGCCTCGTAATTATTTCTACAGCCATTTTATTGCGGATTAATTCAATTTTCCGAGGTTGATTTAAGCGACTGGCGGGAGGCAATGGGCCCAAGAGTGGCCCGTCAAGTGTTGGTTGGCTTCGGCTGCCGGCCATAAACATAACCAAATTGCCCGCCGCATGCAAGTGAGGGGAAGAATGATGAAAAACAGCGATTGCGTGCACGTGTGGGGGTGTGGCGCGTTCAAGTGATGACCCGTCGTGTGCGCGTTTTATGACGGGTAATTTTGGTGCTTGGCACGGGGCGAGCGCGTGCCCACAATGCGGGGTCGGGTTTTTATGATTCAACGTCACACAGTGAATTTGCAACTATGGTTTTCGTGTGAGGTGTCGTAATGAAAGATTACACTGTACACAAGGGCGGGTCCAGAACCAAATTTTCGGGGGGGGGGGGGGGGCAAGAGGGCTCGAGTTTGTTTGTATACAAAGAGGGGAAGGAAATTAAGTACACATGTATCGAGTGCTATTTCCACACTGTCACATTAAAACTAATAGGTATGTGTAGCTGATGGCTTGCGAGAAAGATACGCAACGTTTTAATTTATTTCCTGAAAAGGTAAAACAAAAAGGTGTCTTCTCCCCTCCGATAAAAAAAATCACTTGGACCTTTTTTGTTGGGGATTAACAATTACAAGATAGGTTACAATAATCGTCTACAAACTGATCAATTACAAAGATAAAACTTCGTGATTAACACTTGCACCCGGTCTCGAATCCGAAAAGATTGCCCAAGTGTCATTTAACTCTTGTTTGAAATTAATTTAAATGGCCCCGATGTCACAGTATTGAGCTTATGAAATTTGAGGTATAAGCAGATTGATCATCATCATCATCATTGGTCGACTGCAGTTTTACTACTTGTGTCGGGCACGATGACGGACAGGCTTACACGTCTTGTTCCATCATCAGTGTCCCAAGTTGAATTACCCGTTTGTTAATGTAATACATGTTATTAATAACCAGGTAATTGTGCTTTACCCCGAGTAAAATTGAGGGCAGGGCATGTTCAGATTTGGCTGCACATTATAAGTGCTACTGTGTAATACTATCAAGCAAACGGTGGCATCAGGGAGTCAAGGAATATACTGTATGTGACAGTGAAACCCACAATGACGAGTCTAATTCACAGGCGCAAAAGGTTAGGCCACTCACTCTAACCTTTAACGTATATTGCATTAACATGTTTTCAGCATCTCCCTTATGCATGAGGCTAAGCTTGCATATCTCTCTCCATTTCAAAATGTAACCTGCACTCCTTGAGGTCCAGCCTCGTTGCCACGTAATGCTTCTCTCTGGAAGATGCTTATAGTTAAAAGAACACCGGCTATCCTAATACAATATCAATTTTAAGCCAACTTACAACCCTAATGAGGTACCCTCATTATTGTATACAACCGAGTTTCTTCATATAAAGGGGAAGGGGGTTTCTTATGATGCCGAACCTCATGGAAGCGAGGGTACAGGTGAGTTGACTCAGTAATTGAGGAAGTGGGAGAGGTTCCCGCATGATTCTAACCGAGCTTGTCGCGAGGCTTGACCTCATGGAAACAACTTGGAAGTTGAACAATTTAGGTAGTGTGAAACGTTCTCTCATGGTTCTTAACCAAGGTTCGTTATAAGGGAGGCACTTCGACTTTACCTCGTGGAAGCAACTAATCAGTTTAACACTGAGGTGCTATGGGAGTTGTCCAAAAATCGTCCTCATAAAGAGACGTTTGTCATGAGGCTTGAGGTTAGCTGACAATTGATGTTTAGAGGGTGAATCTATATTTGCATGATTCTATTCCGAACCTCCACATGTTAATGAGGCACTGATCATGAGGCTTGAGCTCAAGGAAATATGGTTTGATGTTACTTTTGACCAAGGTTGAATGGGGACTCTCGCACAATTGTAAACCACGTTTCTACATAAGAGGGAGATGCTTCTGATGAGGCTTGACCTACAGGAAACGACGGAGAGATACGTTACAAATTGAAGTACATGTAGTTTGGAAAGTTCTCGCGTGATGTGAAAGCAAAATTGTACTTATAGAGATGTGTTTCTCAGGAGCTTTTTCCTCATGGAAACAATAATCGAGATTAATTTAGCATTGAGTTAGTGTGAGAGGTTTCAGCACGATTCTAAACCGGGCCTCTACATAAAGAGAGGTGCTGGCCATGATGCTTCCCCTCATGAAAACAAGATTAGAGGTTAGTGTGGGAATTTTCTGTTCTCAACCGAGCTTTCTTCATACGAGAGGTGCCTCTCTCTCCCTTCAGGTCCCGCCTCATGAGAAACCCCTCCCCCTTTAGAAGAAATTCAGTTTACTGGAATGACTATTAAGATACCTCGCTAACTACCTCAATTATTGAGTCAGCTTACCTGCACTCTTGCTTCCATGAGGTCCAGCCTCATGGCCAGCGCCTCCCTCATGAAGATGTCCGGGTAGTGCGTGGTCTCAAACGCCCTCTCCAGCTCTTCCAGTTGCCAGCCGCTGAAATTCGTCCTGACGCGCATGCGCCTGGGCTTGCGCTTCTCGTCGCTGGCACCATGCGCGCCTGCTGATGGACGAAACAAAAAACGGAAACTAAGTTTTTGTCTAATTGTATTGTTTCTTGTTTTAGCGGCTTTTGTTGGGCGTTATCACGCCTCTCTGGTCAGGAGGGTACGACAATCGACACGGTACGGGCCTCTGCGGGGCTTGCAAACATGGTGAACAATGGGGTCAATTAATCATAGTAACAATGCCAAAAGCGTCATAAAATGTGTCATAACCCAGAAGATTGATAAACTACCCAGAAATAATAGGCTTAACCTAGAAATAGAATTAGCGTAACAAGAGAGAAGCGGTCTGTTTGTTGCGCATTTATAAGTGGGAGCCGAAACAGGCGTCAGAACAAAAGAAAACAGTGACTATTCATTTAATATACTTAAAGCTCGGATAATAGTCTTAGGCCGGTTAAAAATAGAATCAACGTGGGTGGAATAAAGAAAACAAGCCTGTAGGATGAGGCCTTCCACATCCACAAAACATACATATTATTGTTTTACTAAAAAGGAAACTAAAAAAAGAATTGAAGAAAAGAGAGAGAGAGAGAGAGAGAGAGAGAGAGAGAGAGAGAGAGAGAGAGAGAGAGAAAGCATGAAAAATCATTCGGTTTCAGAAAATATTTACTCCATATTTTTTTTCTTTGCTCAGGACAAGTACATTATTCCTTCATGTATGTTTCAGCACAACCTAAAACAAAAATGTTTTAGTCCAACTTCAAAGAAACACTGTAGGCCATTCTATAAATTGAGGGTCCAAAGTGTGACGTTTTCCTGTCCCTGTTTAAACTTTGTAATTTACCTCACGAGAGATTTCAAACTTTTTTTTTATTTGTTGGGTAGTTAGTTAGCGATTCATAATAACTCTCGGAAAACGACTGCATTAATGAGGGCATCAGAATTATAGAAGCATTATGTCAGATGCAACAGGGATAGGAAAAAAAACGTGGACCCCAAATTTATAGAATGACCCATAATGGGAGACAAATGAAACGATGGAGGCTACAACTGAAAACTATGTACCACTTCCCGATGAAAATCAACTGAATTATATTAAATAACAGACAGGGGTATAGTTGATATTGTGATACTTGAGAAGACACTATACCACGATCGTGGCCAGGTACCAAGCAAAATCGCCCGAAGGAGCAGCAATATTTGATATGGTTTTCCCGACCTGCCAACATTCCAAGATGATGAATAATCGTAACCATACCCTGCTAACTTCAAGGTTGGACAAAAGGCCAATTAGCTTCCATTATCACAACAGCCAATGGCAATTAAAGGAAAACGTGTGAATATCAACAATGGTCCGGTAAGCTGCATTGAGTGAAAGGTGAGTGCATTATGACTTGATTTTTTGTAAGGTCCTAAAATTCATCTTGAAACAAAAACAGGTTGATGTGAATTACCTCTAACCTCTCTTAAGCGAATAGTAGAATCGCTCCCAAAAGTATTACACACTGCAGAAACTTAAATACTTAAAATGTTTAAATACTAAAGATGTTTACAGTATTGACGGATAGTGTTTAGCAATTGAACACTGATGTTCAGGAACTGGACACATCATGTTTAGCTTCTAAACATGTTTCCAAAGTGGTAGCAAGATTGTGTTCAATTGCTAAGGACAATCTTTGTAGTCCACTTTCAGGAATTAATCACCAAGTGTGTTACAATTTCAGTAATTAATAATTACCAAAGCCGACAAAATCATTGCCCTTAATCTTTAACTCGGATTATCGGAAAGCACACAAGTTCAATTTAGTCGTCGGACCTGCAATTTCCTACCGCAAAAGTGACACAATGAAATAAACTTTTCAGGTGAATCAACTTTTCCTCCTAACAAATTTAAAATCCACAAAGACATTCTCTTGTATTGAGAGTATACATAATATAAAAATACATGTGGAAGTTAGTGTGGTAGCCAAGTCCATCACAAGTCCGATCAAAAGTAATTCACATGGCCGTTCACGCATGTTGACATTACACACCTAGTGTGGACATTCCTTTGTTTTCGTGTAAAGAAACACCGGGTTAAAAACTCATTTTACTCACACTGTGAACACTCTTTCAACCCAAATTGCTCACCATGATTTCCTTAAGTGTTCCTTTTCATTTTGCGACGAATAACCCTAACCCCAAATGCCTCTAAACCTGTTTACTGGAGAGGGGAAAACCTTGTGTGGACCTCTTTTGTTTAGAGGTCCACACTGTGAATGTAATGCTTGTGCGTAATTCCAGTTGCAAGTAAAAAGGCATGGAACAATACACGTTACTTAGATTGATTTTTGTCACAGTTCATTACTTGACTGCCTGGATTGTGACTATTTAGGAATTGAGGACTTGTGATGGAGCCGTTGTGAGGACATGCGAGGACTTAAAATGGACTCGCCGACAACACTGCAGGAAAATAAGATAGGCCTATGCTGAACCTTTAAAGAGAAGATACAACATTTGCAAACATCACAAAATGAAATGATCAAATTTTCACAAAATGCCTTACTGGATTGTTACGGAATGACAGTCTAAAGCTTCCTGTAAAATCATGGCTCCTGTGTGCTGACTTTAAAAATGGTATTTTTCCAGCGCTGGTCGGCTGACCTGTCACCAGCGTTGGAGAAAACTGTTTTTTTTTAAAAACTGTTCCTAATTTTTCATAATTAGTTATTTCCGCATTTTCTTGGGGTACAAGCCTGCTAGACTGATTCTCTGTAACATACGATTCCCCAACGTCTATAAATTGCTCCGTTTCATCTTAAGTGGGGTCAGGGAACCAGACTACAATAACATGATTGGTGTTTTTGGTTTTTCTAGCATCTACAAGCCAAAAACGTGAAACAAGTCATTTTAACAATATTTGCTATAACATACTACTCCTCCGAATCCATTTATTTCTGAAAATTGCAGCAAAAGCAAATGTTGTACATTCCCTTTAATAGATAGTTTTGAAACCCAAAAGTTAACATCGAAATCTACTTTAATTAAAGACCTCTTAAACACATCTACAATATACAAGCAGTATTCCTTTTCTAAACCAAATTGAAGACGAGAAAGTAATGGCAGTGCCAAATTGAAAAATTAAAAAATGAAATTTTAAAATATTTTCAACTCACCTACGAATGGATGTTCACAGATGTGTCTCGTCGACTTTTCAAGTGACCGCTTCTCCTCTCCTAGTCCAAGGATGTTTTCAATTGAGAAGGGGGTTTTCGAACCCACTTGCTGATGGGTAACCGAATTTATCATTTTTTTTTATCGAGTTAAAAAAATCAACTTGAAAAAAAAAAAATCAACTTGAAATTTCTTTCGGATGAAGATGCTGTTTTGGATTTGAGATGTTATCGCTTGAGGTGCGAACGGCTTTGTCTTACTGGCACGGAACGGACGGGGGCTTTTAGCATGTTTTACTTTTTAATTCCAGTTGATTTATGATCACCATTCGTTAATGAGTGCGCGCGAGGAGGGAAAGTGCGCGCCGCAGACGAAACCGACCAATGGCTGTGCGGCTTACACGGGGATAGCGAGTTGTGTTGACCAATCAGAGCCCGGCATGCAGAAAGCTGCCGAGAGCAGACGATATCGGTAATAGCATTAGAGCACACTATAACAGCTTGCTTGATTCGTTGAATGCTTGACTTAAACTGGAGTAATCATGAACAACCAACTCATTCAATTAAAAAAAAAAGTTATATTTTCCATTTTGGGGTGACGTGTTTCACTTTTTTGGTTAATCCATACCCTCTTGGCTCTTGAGAAGTTTATGGTTGATGGAAATGAATTTTGAAAAGGAGGAATGTAGGGTAAACAAACATGGAAACATTCAGCGTGGAATGTGGGTTAAGTGGCCCGTGGTTCTGGGGCATATTTCAGGGAGGAGAAGCACAGAAGCCGCGGTCATATAACGATCCACGATCACCTGCGAATGGGGAGCACAACAAGGCCGCAACGGATATTATACAACGTCGAGCAAACGTCCCATTTCCCCCACACGCCATTTGTTCAACTGATAGCGATAAGATAACATTGTCCGGGCTGACTCGAGAAAAGTGATTTCTGAGCGCAGCAGCGGGGAGGTCCCTGCCCCATCCGCCGGGGTGAGTTGCCTCCTCGAGTGGCGAACTGACACTGAGTACCGATAAAAATCTCCCGCTCGTGTGCGGCTCGCGTGGCGGCCGCCCGGACCCACTTCAGCACCACCGCAGACGGGGGGTCTCGTTACCGTAGCCACAGCACATCGACCGGTCGGTAAACCTCTTTTTTCATCCCGGTCATTTCATTTTTCACGTCCGTGATGGGCCCGCCGTGAAGTGAAAGCCATATTTATAAAGTCTGACTGTTTACAAAATGTGGCCCACTCCGATCCCACTTTGGGGGTGGTCCTCGTGTCTGGGCGTAAGCATGGCAGGCGACTCGCCCTGGTGCGGCCCTCGTATTTCAAGTGGCAGTGCCGTATCCAGTGTTTTCAAATTGGTCGTCAGTCGTCAAAAATGGGCACTAAAAGATTACATTTTCTATGAAAAACTTACTGTATTGATACTTTCATCTGTTTATGGTAACTGCCATTATCAAATCCGCATTTCTTAAAGCACTTGTCCACGAATGTTTTTAACTGCTCTTTCAGTTTCTGTATAGGCGGCACCGGCAGCTACTTTCCTTTCAGCATTTTCGCATGCAACAGTCGTCTGGCGGCGTTTCGTGCGTAGACTCGATCAGCATCACATTCATGAGAACCATGAAATTAATCATTGATCATTTAGACACATGAATATTAATGCATGTGTTAGAGTGGTCAATGAGAACAGCGATCATGAATACATGTACCATGAAGACTCCTTTTCATCGAAACATTGAAGTGTTTCGAACTACACGCAAATCGAATAAGATTTTTTTTTTTATCTTGATCAAAATAATGGTTCAATTCTTGTAGCTCACACAACTTAAAGGGCCCATGCAACGAATTTTGTTAAATGCAGTCATTGAAAATGCACCGTTGTGTCCCATTTTAACCTTATTTTCGATTTTCGTTTTGCCATTTTCGAGGATATTTTGGTGCCCTCTTGGTTTTATGCTAATGAAAATGTCTGTATTCATGAGTAAAAATGTGATGTCATTTCAGGCAGAAACCTCAATGTTACATCTATTTCAGCACCAAACGTTTCCAGAATTTTGGATATTTTGATGTAAATTTTCTTTCCTTCGGTGATTTATTGTTGTGTCAGTACATGGAAGAAAGCTAGTGAGCAAACTTTTCTCGTAGATGTTTTCAATGAACAAATCATTGGGTTCACAATTTCAACAGAAAACCCATACACTGAAAAGTATATTCCTGAAATGACATCACAGCAACAGCGCCTTCAGTTGTCTGGAAAAGTATGGTCAATTATAAATGTTTAAAGAAGTGCACTTTTCAATAAAATTAACCAAAAAGGAATGTAAAATATTCTCATACAGTTAAGAAGAGGAAAAGTTGCACAAAAAGTGTTCCTCAGAATAATCCACTTCTTGGACCTTTAAGAGTACTAGTTTTTGTTTGAGTCGACGTATACACTAATGCATCAGTGTAGGATGTAGTGACTTTCTTGTAATTACGGCGTTTCTCATTTTTCTTTCTACTGTCAACTTGCTACTTGAAGGGGGCTACCCGCCCCCTCCCCGTTGGTGTCCGTTAACGGGAGGCATTGATTGGTTGAATTTGGTTTCGCCCAATCTCTTCGATAAACTACAAGTGATCCGCGGATCGCATGTGTCGCCTTTTCCCGCGGTCGATCCCTATATGTGTTGTGGTTTTAAAAAAGTGACATATTGTGGATTTTTTAACAACTATGCCTCGAATGACCCCTAAATTACCTTTGACCTCCAATTTAAACCAAAAGAGATGTCCCATTATGTATTAGGGCTAGGGATTGGTTATTGAACTAATTGTTGTTTTTTTGCCTTGAGATTCGCCTTTAATATTAAGCACTGATACCGATGAACCCCTTTAACTTAAAATGCTTATACCTCTTCGCACTACAGGGTGGGGCAAAAAGAAGGAAACCCACTTTTGACAGGATTTATTACGTACTTACTTAATTTATTTGAAATGTTTTTTTTTTATAATGCGGTGAAGTATAGCTCCTCAACCATACATGGTGAACAAATCTTTAAAAAACAATCGCAAGAATAGTATTATTATACTAATTTGAATGCAAGTCACCAAAATCACTGTTGACCACGTGTCAGTCTAGTGTAGTGTTTTTTGTCTTCAAATCAAGCTCCGGAGCTCAGTCAAGCGGATGGAATAAAGCTGTCGTCCGTGAACAAACAGGTTTGGCACATGAAATGTTTAACTACCACATCTCGGAGACAAATGCATTAGCAATCCTTTTTTTCGTCACTTATGTTGAAAGATCAATATTTTTACACAATCAAAATTGAGTTTTGAAATAATTATGCTCGACAAGTAGGTACAAATTTTTGCCAAAAGTGTGTGTGTTTCTTTTTGCACCATCCTGTATACATTCCGCGACTATGAACATGTGCATACATTACCATTTCGCATTACAACATGTATTCAAACATTTCGAATCCAATCAGAATATAATTACCTAACGCAGCCTCAAAACTTCCATTTGGAAAGAAAATGACATTATCAATTAAGTGTGATCCATGAACGTTGGACAAGACATCTCACGCAATTCAGATCATAATGGCTTACATTCATGTGTATAATGACCTATAATGTAATATTCGTCACTTAAAATGGGTGATATCTGTTTAAAAAAAAACACCGCATGAGACCCATCATAAAAAAAACCCCTAAATCAAAAACCACGCAGCAAGCCACCAAACACCGGAGCAAAACCGAGTTGTGCCGCGTATAATGCCGCCCACTTCCCCCATAATATTATTACTGGCATCAAGTGCCAACCATTAATGTTCCCCTCAATTATGAACACGAGCCGGCCCTTAATTAGCCCAGGTGCAAGGCTTACACAGTGGCTGAAGCGACGACAGGCGCTGTGTTCTGGCCCACTTGAGCTCCCTCTCGCAACCCTGGCTTTAGCCGTGCCAGGTCCAGGGATTTTTTCTTTCTTCTAACATTATGAAAGCAATGCCTGTGACGATTTTTGAATTATTTACGACAGTGTCATGACGATTTTTGAATTATTTACTACAGTGTCATTAATTTATTTATAACAACATGATACTGTAGTATGCGATTATACGCTTTCGCATGAGTTTTTGAATGGGCGGCTATTCAGCCAATTTCTCGGTCCAGTCAAATGAAAAATGTAAGGCAATAATACTACACGAGTTGAAAAGGCTACAGCAGAGCAGTCTTTAAGTCTCTTTTTCCCCTCAAAAATGGGTGTGAATCGTTTTCATTCATTAAGAACGTAAACGGCCTTGCTTATGTTCAATAAAACGAAGGAAATCCATAAAGTATCCATGGTGTATGAATTACTAAAGACTTTGCAAGACAAATTCTTAGTTTCACATACAGGGTGAGTAAAAAAACAAAAGGAAACCCAAACGTCAGGACCATTTTTTTAATGGATGTATGTGACTTGTTTTCATTTTGCTGAAAGAACACTTATCTTTTTGTGATCCGTGGACAAAACTTTAAAACGGTGTTTGTGTTTAAAATTCCGTAACTTGAAAAGTACATGAGTGATTTGAATGATTCTTGTACTAAACGAAAGCTTATTAATTGGGCTTTCATATCCCCAATTTAAAAAGTGCTACATGCAGAACTTCATTAAAAAATTAGTCATGCCATTTGGGTTTCTTTTTTTGGGGGGCGGGGGGACTCATCCTGCATGTATTAAGTATCTTCGCTCAGAAAATGAAGCATGTCTTCTTTTATCTCAGACCCGCATTCTGGTTGCACAACGAACAACAAAGAGAATCTTCGATTGCAATTCTACCAGGAAAAGAATTCGAGGTCCGGGAGTTTCCTACGAAGTGATGCCATCCCGCGATGACACCCTATACCGTGCGATCGCAGCGACCGACCGATCGCGTCACGGTGAGAACCCGGCCAAGGTATGCAGCCAATCGTGGGAAGATTCAAGATTCGCGCCTCGCCCAACGCAAGACAAACACGGTCACTCCGATTAGTACAAAGACAAACCACCGACTCTGACCTAATTTCCAGGACTTCTACTTTTCCTAAACTCTAATTATCGGTAAAAGTTTGACTCACTAGAGTCAAATATTCGCGTGTGTCATCATTCGCCCAGGGGTAAAACAAACTCCAGGGA